GTTGGCCCTGACTAGTTATGCCAATGGGTTGATTTGTCGGTTGGTCGGCAGCAGACCCGCTTATTAGCTGCCTGATATGCTATCGTGGCCTTGGCATGCTTCGATTAAATAATTGCGAGCCTGAGTCTGTTTTCCTTTTGCCATGCCAACAACATGCTGTGTGTATTGCCGATATGTCCAGGAATCTGTCGCGAGGAGTATGTATGTCTACTGCCTTGAGTGTCACGGTGGTCACCATCCACCACACCCGCTTCTCCCATGCCCCACATGGGGTGATGGGATTCCTCGGGTTGCCCCTGCGATGCGACTTTCTCCATCGTTGCCCGTTGAAGAATGGATACAGCAACCTGAGGTGCAAAACAGGCTGCCACATGAACCCCTTGAAGTGCAGCATGCTGAAAGGTTATCATCCCCAGGGCTAGCAGTGCAAGGGGTGGTTATACTTACTTTGGATCCAACTCCATCATCATCTGTCCACAGGCAGGCTATTTGCTACCACAGGTTCAAGGAGCTCTCTGCTCATTGCCGTGCTGTGACGACGACCCAGCTGTCTAAATCATCGGATACTGTCTGTATGGCAGTTGATTACCCATCTATTGATTGGGGCGCAGGTGACTATGTTCGGTCAACATATGGCCAGCGTTCCCTATGTTATGGGCGTCATGAGGGTGTTCCCTATGTTATGGGCATCATGAGGGTCTGGTCCATGCAAGTTTCTTGTTTCCACATTTTTTTTCACAGTCTCACGTACTCATGTCTTATGTCATCTCATGGGCTCCTCCTCTCCCCTCTTGTTCCTCGTGCTGAATTGCCAATTGCATGTGGATGAGAATCGCTAAGAGAATGGACATAATATGAGGTGAATGTGTGCTGAAAGGTAATTCTGAGATGGCAGGCCTTGCCCCGCTCAAAGTAGAGCAGTGAGATGACCATGTCACCATAATCAATATTAGCACATGGCATCCATGGGCCTAGCTCAGTTGGTACACCCTTCAACGGTTGAAATGCAGACTTGAGTCCAAATCCTGATGCAATCAGATGAGCAGGATAGTATAATTCTGAATTACCTGGCTCCGGTCAGCTGAATGATGATATCTCAAGGCCGTCGCCCTTTTTCAAAAATATATATCACATGGCAAGACTGTTACGAAAATGATATTTAAAGTTTAATATTTATACATCTGAGCTGGATGATCCGAGAGGAAAAGGGGTTGCTGTCAATGCTGTGGTAATTGTTAATTATTGTTTAAAATGCACAAGCAGCGGATACACAACACACTCGTACACAGCTGCACACACGCGTGCACAGACATCCTCTCTCTTCCTCAACTTCTGTGTGTCAATTGTGCTCCGTCTCCTCCCCTGGACAGCCGTTGAACTCCAACAAACTGCACGTATGAACTAAATGCGGCCTCTGTTGGTATGAACTAAATGTGGCCTTTGTTTTCGGAAAAAGAAAAGAGACGTTTCTAAGAGGCCCGCTACTCCGTTAGTGGCGGCCGTCCCTCCTCAAAGGCACACACACACACTCTCATAGAGAAAAAGAGGGGGGGGGGAGCGAGAGAGAGAGAGTTGTTTTCCTCCCCTTGAACGAAATGCGGTGTATGCTGCACACAGTGTTCTTGGAAAAGAAAAGAGATGTTTCTAAGTGGACCACTACTCCCTTAGTGGCGGCTGTCCCTCCTCCAAGGCACGCACACGCGCATAGATGGACATCACGACACTGTTTTCCCTGGCTAAATTTTGTGCGCAGCATTTTTCGTACATACCCTTCTCTTTTGTCTTCTTTTTCCTGTTTTTGTGGGCGAAGCTGTAATAGGTCATGTAGCTGAATATTTGCGGTGCGTGATGTGGTTGCAAAACACACACCTGTGGGTCACGATAGCGCAGTGCATTTGTGCGCCTATATGAAAAATAGGGAGTGGGGAAAGGGGTAGTGGCATCCCCACTCCCTTCAAGAAGAATATTCTCTTCAGGAAAGATGTGTGTGTGTGTGTGTGTGTGTGTGTGTGTGTGTGTGTGTGTGTGAGAGAGAGAGCAACTCCAGGGTCACCTGGGTCCCCACCGAGGTGGCCCCAGACGTTGGTCCCCAAGGCTGGTTAAGGGTCGACCCAGTTTTTTTCTTTTTTTTCCGGGTCTTGGGGGCAGGGAGGACGTGGATGCCTGCTGTGCAGACTGCGTCACCAAGTCCAGAGTCGAGAGTCCAGACCTTACAAAGGATTCAGCAGGTGGCAGGGGATGGCGTGGACAAGCCTGCCGGGTCACCAAATCCAGATCTCTCAAAAAATTGTGTGGGAAGCAGGGGATGGTGAGCGGATTTCACTGTTTGCAGAGTTTGGTATGTTCTCCTAACTAGTGGAGTTTTCCTTATCCTTAACACTCTTAAAGAGTGTAAAGGGTCTCGCGTGACGCTCTCACGGAGATCCGCTTGCCAGTGTTGGGAAAGGCGGCGGGGCAAGGGGCGGGCCCACGGGACACCTGTGTCCTTTTTTAATCTTTTTTTGTCGTGTTGTGGGCTCGCTCGCGTCGTTTCGTTTTGGACTTATGGACTTAGGGCCTCGCTGCACTACTCACGAGACTGCATCTACCGCTGGAGTACGGAGAAATACGTTGCTTCTCGTTTTTTGTCGTTTTGTGGGCCCGCTCGCGTCGTTTCGTTTTGGGCTTAGGGCCTCGCTGCACTGCTCCCGAAACTGAATCTACCGCTAGAGTACGGAGAAATACCTTGCATATGTTTTTTGTCGTTTTGTGGGCCAGCTCGCATCGTTTCGTTTTGGACTTAGGGCCTCGCTGTGCTACTCACGAGACTGAATCTACCGCTAGAGTGCGGAGAAAAAACATTGCCATCTTTTGTCTTTTGCGCACGTAGATCCAGGCCCGCGCAGTTGTTTTTCTGCGTCGTGAAAGGGCGGTGGGGACGAACGGGATGAGTCGGAGGGGGTGCGGAGAGATGGGGACCAGGGTGGTGGACGGGGGGAGGGGCAACGCAAGGAGCAAAAGAGGGACCAGTGGGGGCAGGAACGGGATGTGAGAGAGAGAGAGAGAGAGAGAGAGAGGGCGGAATTGCAATTTTTTTTTTCCCCCCTACTCTTGGTCCCCGCTCTTGGTCCCCGCCACAGTCGCGGCGGGCAGACGTCTTGTTTTATTAAAAAGAAAAAAGGGAAAAAAAAGAGTTCTGAACTCGTTGCGAGGAGCTGTCTCATGACCCCACTCCCACTAGTTTGGGCTGCGGCCCCTGCCTCCCACGTGGTATGTGGTCTCCTGGATCCCCTTGCCCCCTTCCTTATATACGTCTTGTTGTTCTTCTTCTATCATCATTGTCATCGTCAAACCCTCTTTCAAATTTGCTTCTCTCCTTCCCTCCTCCCACTCTGTATCAAGACTTGTCCTTATGATGAAATCCTTCTGTATCTGGCCCTGTTGTGAAAGCAACCCTCCCAAACACCTGCCCCATTGCAGAATTGAACTCACCTCTTCCCACCAGTCACTCTGCTCAGAAGATTTTCGTCTTCTTCTCACCCCACGGCCGCCTACCGCGGGCTTGGTGTTCACCGGCTGAGATAGTCGGCTTGCCCTGCCTGGCTGGTCTTGGTAGGGGCTGGGGTTTCTCCTTCGGCCCTTGCCCTTGCCATCCCTCACTGGGGGCTCCGAAGCTTAGGTGTTACTCCTTGCATAGAGTAGAGTATGCAGAGCTAGGTAGTATGAGGTAGATTTGATAGAAGAAAATAGCTTTAGTAGGCTTAGTTAAGAAGACAGAAAAAATCTAACCTGTAATCCTTCCCAAACCGGCAGCGCACATAATCACCCACTGCCTTGTCTAACTGCTCTCCTGAGACATCCCTACCCAGTCGCTTCGCCTGCACAAACCCTAACCTGTGTTGATGGGCCTGCATTCATCATGCAGGTGTACCCAAACCATCTACTGCAGCGATCTTTGGAGCTCTGCTCTTATGTTTCTTTGGTCTCAGGCCGTGTACAGTGGAAATAGTGGCCACCAGGAACTAGTGAAATAATGACAAGATGAAAATCACTGTAGAAAAAAACTGACGCATCTGTGCCATCTGTGGATCTTGTGCTATTTTGCTCATGAACGGCAGGTGTTGTCGGAGAGAGCATATATTTTGTTTTATGCCCGACGAAAGTACTGGCCACCAGGAACTAGTGAAATAATAACAAGATGAAAATCACTGTCGAAGAAAACTGACGCATCTGTGCCATCTGTGGATCTTGTGCTATTTTTGCTCATGAACGGCAGGTGTTGTCGGAGAGAGCATATATTTTGTTTTATGCCCGACGAAACCCAAGGCCAGCGAGTGATGTCCCAAATTCTTGTCAATCACCATCACTGCCTGCCTCACGTCCTTCTTCTGATTTGAACGGGGACATGTTAGTAAAGAGACCCGTGAACAAGAAATTGCCAGTCAATGGGATTCTGAAACCAACTCGAGGGCCAGCCTCCCTGTCTGCCTTTTCTGCACAAGTGACAAAAACTCCTGTGAAGACTGGAGATCACAGACCTACACCTGGTGAAGACCAAGTTGTACCACATGTACCTTCTGTCTCTGGTAGCTGTATTAGTAAAGCTTCAAAATTTAAGAGTGGGATTGGTAGCAGTGTCTCTCACAGTATTGCCCAGGAAAATGGTCCGCAGTGGGCACCCCGTACTTTTGGGAATGGGGCGAAAGCACCCTGGGAGAGTGCACAAGTTGCTGTTGGGGGGCAGCCGCAAACAACTGTAAATGACAATTGTAGGAGTCATCAATGTGAGCCAGTATTTTCTCGGGGGAGAAGACATCTAGCTGAAGGGTTGCAGGCGATGCCAGACAGATTGGGGAGTGATTCTGGAAGCGCTTGCCGCGATGGAGTTGTGCTACGTCTGCAGCCCTCAAATGGTGCTGGTGGTTCTGAAGGAGCAGAGCAATGTGTCGCCTGGGCACAGAATGGCTGCAAAGTTTCGAGAAAAGAAGAGGGTAGCGATTTGCCCGTGTCCTCGAGAAGGTTGGAAGCGTGTCATTCAATGCTAGCGACAGTTCCTGGAGTGGAGGAGTGTGGCTTACGAGATGGAGGAAGTAGAGAAGATAGGGATGGCAGCCAGGTCTGCGGACCAGGGTCACATCATCCTATGAGGGAGAAGGACTGTTTATTGCACCCTTCTGTGAAGGCGGGCACCAGAGAAGGGGCTGGAAGTGCTGTGCTAGGTGGGGGGACTACTCGTCTGAAGCGTGGACAATCTGAATCAGAAACAAACCAGCAGAAGAGATTGCATACAGACAATACAGTTGTTCCTTCCTATGGCGAGAGGTTCACCGAGAGCGTGTCTCCAGCAAGGGGAGAGGTTGAGGAGCAGTGTGCCATGCCCGTGAAAGAGTCTGCGGCCATTCCAAGACTGGTTGCCGATGACCTGCGTTTCGCGTAAGTTAGTTTGGCTTATTTGTATTGCTTCTTTTCTCTGTTTTCCAAACTCTCTCATAGTTTTGATATTGCCTCTTTTCTCTGTTTTCCAAGTTCGTTCACAGTGTAGGTTTGCTTCTTTTCTGTGTCTTTTCTTTTGGGGGGCTGGGAGAACACTTTCCATTGGAAACCGAGTCCAGCTGCTGTAGCGTCATTTTCTAACGCTGCAGATTATTGAATTTAGTTACTTTTTGGGTCATGGGAGGGTTGTGGCTGGGTGCCTTGGAGCTTCCTGGGCGCTGGGGTCGATAGGCATTATGCCATGCAATGTGAACTCCTCTACTGGAGTGCTCTTGGGCTGTATTACATATATTGTACCCTCAACCTACACAACGTTTTCTTATGAAGAAAAAGGAAAAGAAAAGAGGGCGACACACCAGCACCTCACTTTGCATGCTGTGTCCTTATGAGGAAAAAGGAAAAGAAGAGAGGGCGGCACACTGGCCATGCATCTGAGCAAAGCTAGCAAAGTGTCAGAGGACATGTTTACTGATGGTTATGGCATGTCAACACTAAACACATGGTTCACTAACACAAGGGCTCTCACAGTCAAAAACCATGTGCTCCAACCATCCAGAGTTTTTGATGACCATATCATATGCACATGGACGGTGGAATTAACAAATGCATATCGACAGTGGAATTAACAAGCCTATGCGGAATCTTAGCTGATTTTGGGAATGCTGGATGGGAGGCTGGTTGGGCTTCAAACTTCATGGTGCAAGGAAGAGTTTGCACAGTGAACCGCTCCACCAGCTTTCGGGGATCGTATTTGGTACACTTAAACCCCCAGTACGGCAGACCCTAAATTGTCGAACCAACCCTGGCCTCCTTAACCCGAAAAGTCAGGCCTACTGGCTCAAAGGGACTCTGACTGACATATATGCGAGGCACAGGGCCTCGATATGCCCTACAGGGCCTATTTTCCACACAGTCGGCCGCCCTAAGTGAAGGCAGGCACGACCGAGGCCTACAGGCCATTTTGGGGTCACCACACAACTGGGGAAATTCAGGCAGTTGCGCAGCGCCAGTTGGTTGGAAGCGCCCAGGCCCAGGCTGCCTTTCATTGCATGTAACTGAGGCAGGCCCTGGGCCAGATACACAAAGTGGACTGAACAAAGGCTGAGGGAGTTGGGTGCTGGTAACCACCACAGGCCCTGGGCCTGTTTACTTCGGACTGAGGCTCAGCCTCGTGGGGCCTACCGGAAGCTTCTGGGCCAGGGCCCATTACCGCATTACCGCACGCAGCAGCAGGCCACTTCGATATAGAGAAGGGCCTCTGCCTACGCATTGGGCATTCGGGCACTGGCTGCATGCTGCGCTAATGCTCCAGGATCATGCGCTCACAGGCGAGCTGGAAGGAGCAGGCAGCCATAGCCGAGCCGCGCTGCTGTATGCTGGATGGGGCGCATGGTGGTTCTTGGGTGCATGTGGCATCTGTGAGTTGGGGAACGAGGTTGTGAGTGATACGAGAGACATACCTGGTGCTTGAAGCGTTCGGCATTGGCCGAGATCTTCTCGTACTTCGGGGAGCTGTTGCCGTCATCAGTGGCATCGTAGAGTAGGCTAGATAGGGTCTGCCATCTGTAGTCTGGGCGCCGAGCACCAGATAGGATATCAGTTCTTCGTTGATGATGATGAGACTATTCCAGCATTGTCAATTACGAGCTTTTGCTGTGCTCTTATTTGGTGAAACTCATGATGCAATTCTGCTATTGGTTCGAGGTCACGACTATCTGGTCTCATGTGTATGATGCTGTTTGAAATCTGAAGTTCGCTATTGCTCATCTTCGTTGCATATATGGCCGGTTTGACAGATATGTTTTTGTTTGCATTCAAAAAAAGAACTTTTTTAATTTGTTACCTGAAGGCTGATGTGGCTGAACCTACCATACATGCAGGTTTTTCTCAGATGTTTTCGTGGAGGGAATGAGAATAAAAATCGCCAAACTTGGGGTTCTCTTTTGTACACCCCCCAGGTATCCCATTTCCCCACTGTAGACTACCCTTTCCGTGGCCAGGGTGTATACAGCCACATTCTTTGGAGGAGGTGGCTTCACACTGGTGGTTTGAATGAGAAGTGGGAAATCCATACTACCCCCAGAATGAATGGGTCATAGTGAGCTAGCGTGCTCCAGGAAGGGCTGACTGGGTCTCCTCTCCTAACCACCGTGCTCCAGGAAGGGCTGACTGGGTCTCCTCTCCTAACCACCTTCAACAGTTTCTGTTCTATGTAATTCAAAGCCTTCAAGTGCTTGCTCATTTTACGTTTGCTTTTGCAGCAAGGACACCAGCCAAATCAATAGTTCTCATCACCTCCTGCCCCTGCTCCCCCTCTAAATAAAAAACAGGAGAACAAAGAAGTTAAAACATTGCATCAAGAGAAAGACAGATTTTTTGGGGAAGAGAGAGAGAGAGAGAGAGAGAGAGAGAGAAGGTTATGATGCAATTGTGTGGCCCACCATCCCAGAGATCGACTGGTGTGCTCCATCGTCTCTGGAAGAAAGCAGCGGGTCACCACTTTTTGGAGAGGGTTGAGAGAGTTAAGGTCTGAGACTGAATGTTGGTTCCCAAATCTGTTTACTGCTTGTGTTCTCCTGCAGGTTGGAAAGGGATGCAAAGCAACAGCTTCGGAGGAGCCCCTGGTATGTCCCATTGTTTTCTTTGATATTATATTGCTGCTGTCCCTTGAATGTGCCCTCGCCCGTCTTCCTTGTGTGTCACTAAGGTGTCTCGAATAACAGGTCACAGTGGCTGCAGAAAAAAATGGGCATGCCTGAGCATTTGTGAGGGGTGATATTCGGGGGGCTAATGCAGAAGGGATGTTTAGAAGGTTGCTGAGAAGAAAAGTGATTAGGAACCTACAAATTTTGGGACAATGGTCAATATTAGGGGAAGTAGCAATTGCCAATAGACAAGAGAAATCCACTTAAACCACCACTGCTGCCTTCACAATCCCAAAGTCATGCCACATACCTTGCCAGCCGCTGGATAGGCCAGCGTACAGATGATGGGGGGCATGACAGGGGGGGCAGTGGCAGTGCACAAAATCCTGTGTGGGCTAACTTTCACATTCTTTTGTGCTAAGACCCTAGGCAACCAGCTGGGTGGGCCCGGCCACCCCTATGCCTGCCGGGAGCTGCCCTGCTGCATGGCCCGCTCGGTTGAAACTCCGGGCTTCCAAGCGCATAATCCCTTGTACGGGATTTCGGGCCCGGTAATGCCCCAGCGGTTAGGGGGACTGAAGCAGGCCTTTAGGTCACACTTGCGCCACAAAAAAAAAACAGGGGCCTGCCACAAAAAAAAAAAAAAAAAAGGGGGCCAGCAGGCCATTGCCCATTGAAGATCAATGGCCCTGGGCGTGGCTCGGTCCTTGGAGGATTTTGCTGTCCGCCCGACGATGTTGGTATTCGATCTCGATTCCTGTGGGCAGGCCCATTGCAGCCCCCAGTCTGTACCCTCCCGTGCCGTCAATGGTGTGCGTCCTAGTCTTGGCCAGTACTCATCGAGGATCAACAGCCCGAGCGTGTCGTGGTCCTTGGGAGGCTTTTGCCGCCCTCCCGTCGATGCTGGTATTCAATTTTGATTCCCGTGGGCAGGTTTCACGACCCCTAGTCTGTGCCCTCTCACACCGTCGACGCCGTGACTCCTCGTTGTGGGCTCCATCTCCAGAAGGTCAATGCTCCTCCTCCTCCACCCCCCTCCTCTTCCTCGTCCTCTTCCTCGTCCTTTTCCCCGTCCTCTTCCTCTTCCTCCTCCTCTTCCTCCTCCTCCTCCTCCTCCTCTACTCCTCCTCTTCCTCCTCTACTCCTCCTCCTCTGGCTGCCTCTCCTCGCCTTTTCCTCCTCCTCTTTCTCCTCTTCCTCCTCCTCCTACTGCTCATCCTCTAATACCGAGGACGACGAGAAGAGAGAGGCCATCCAGCTGCCTCTCCTCCTCCGCCGCCTCTTCCTCCTCCTCTTCTTCTTCTTCTTCCTTCTCCTTCCTCCTCCTGCTTCTACTACTACTTGTGCTTCCGCCTTCTAGGATTCTTGTTCCCACAGACAATCGGGAGGGGGGTAGGGGAGCAGGGGAAGTGGCAAGATGGGGTAGTCACGAGATGGGGAAGCGGCGGGTAGGGGAGAAGATCAGGGGGGGGAGACGGGGGGAACGACTCCTCATCCTCCCCTCCTCGACATCTTGTTTATTGTCCACAACTCCACGCATTGGTCTTTTCTTTTTTTGTGGTTCCCCAGAGTTTGACGTTCCAGGCTTCCAGCGGAGAATCGGGGAGGGGGGGAGGTTGATGACTGTTTGGGGAGTGGCAACGGCGGACAAGTGGTGAGATGGGGGAGTGGCGAGTTGGAAGTGTCTCGGTGGAGGGAGAAGAGAGGAAAGAAGAAGAAGAACAAGGAGACCTCTCCTTCTCCTCCGCTTCTTCTTCTTCTTCTTCTTCTTCTTCTTATTCTTATTCTTCTCCTTCTCCTCTTCTTCTTCTTCTTCTTCTTCTTCTTCTTCTTCTTCTTCTTCTTATTCTTCTCCTTCTCCTCTTCTTCTTCTTCTNCTTCTTCTTCTTCTTCTTATTATTATTATTATTATTCTTCTCCTTCTCCTCTTCTTCTTCTTCTTCTTCTTCTTCTTCTTCTTCTTCTTCTTCTTCTTCTTCTTCTTCTTCTTCTTCTTCTTCTTCTTCTTCTTCTTCTTCTCCTCCTCTTCTCCTTCTTCTTCTTCTTCTTCTTCTTCTCCTTCTTCGGCGACTGTGAATCCAAAGGCCTAGTGTTACATGCTGCGCCTGCAAACAAGGGCCATTTTCAGGCCCTGGGTCGTTTCAGCCTGAAAGCCTGAAAACAAGGGCCTACAGGCCCTGTGTCGTTTCAGCGTAAAACAGCGCCCTCCAGGCCCTGAGTCTTTTCAGCCTGAAACGGAGGGCCATTTTCAGGCCCTCATAAGATCGACCTGCCCTGAAACTTAGGCACCAGACCAGCGTTTTAGCACAGGCCATTTTGGGCCTACTTTCAAGACAACCTTTGTTTGAACTTCAACGCCAGGGTCTGGCACGTTTTGGCATTGGCAAGAGCAGCCTCCTGGACGGGGCAGCACTATATAAGACTGGCCCGCCCTGCAGGCTGCAGGTAGTTCATAGGGGACTTCCCAGGCACTTCACGTGCAGTTCAGGAGGCAGGAGGTAGTCTTCAGGATTCGGCAGCAGCAATCTGGAGGAGCGCTGCAGTAGTAGTAGAAGAGTTAGCAGTAGTCTTCAGCGCTGGGCACTAGTAGGAGCTAGAGTAGCACTGGAGAGAGAGAGAGAGAGTTGGTGGAGGCCAGGGAGACTTACCTGCAGCGCCATAGCTCCAGCTTTGCCTTCGAGGTACCTGCAGCACGGCGCCATCTTCAGAGTTCTTCTCCGTCCTCCTCTCAGTCCACCATCTCTTCCTCACCCTCTCTCTATCTGACTTCTCGGCATCAGGTGGGCATCAGCAGACTATGAGCGAGAGAGAGATTGGTGATTTGGAGATGTTGACAACATTGGGATACAGACTCGACTTTGGGATCGAGACATTGACGAGGGACTATTTGGGATCGATACTAGTGGCACTTGTGTGACGCCATTCCCATCTTCTCCCTCATCTTCGTCTAATCCCCCTCCTCTTCGTCTGTGGATGTATGGGGCTGGCGCATTTGTGCATTCTTCGTGTGTGAGCGCCAGGCCCCTTCACACCTTGTAATGATGACGATGTATGTTTAGTCGGCATTGCAACATTGGTTGGGTAGATCATTGATATTTGTACTATGCTAGGGGGGGGTTGCACCATTACGGTATGCAACAGTTTGGTATCTCCTCCTCCTCCTCTCACATGATGGGATGTCCTGTCAGTCCCGGTCAGGTCAGGAGTTATATCCAAGTCTTCCACTGCACTATAAAGTGCCATTTTGTATGTATCAGGATGTACACTGCGTGTTGAGATTCCACTAACACTGCATTTTCCATTCAGTCCTTTTCATCACCTTGCGGATCCTTGGCTGTACATACATTGCCCAACTGGGCATGTATCACCTAGTAAAAGTCAACTCCATACCGTGCATTTTCGATCACATCCACTCCGGGATCCAAGGGAGTTGTTCCTTCAGGCTGTGTAGAGTGAAACCTGCTTAGGCTAAGCTTATACCGTGACCCCTTCCCTACTGGCGAAGTAGCCAGTGCTCTTCTTCTTCCTCTTCCTCTTCCTCTTCTTCCTCTTCCTCCTCTTCTTCCTCTTCCTCCTCCTCCTCTTCCTCTTCCTCCTCCTCCTCCTCCTCCTCCTCCTCCTCTTCCTCTCCCTCTCCTTCTTCCTCTTCCTCTTCCTCTTCTTCCTCCGACATGTTGTTGGTCGTCGAAGACTCCACGCATCGCCGTTCTTCTTTTTTTCAATTGTTAGTCAGAGATTTATTTCAGGCTTCCAGCAGACAATCAGAGAGGGGGGCGGGAGAGTGTTGACTAGTTGGGGAGTGGCGACGGTAGTCGTGGCGGGAAAGTGGCGAGATGCGGCAGTGGTGACTTGGGAAGAAGATCGGGGGAGGGAGAAGGCAGGAGAATTAACGAGGATGGAAGAAGTAGAAGAAGGAGGAACTCTTCTCCTTTTTCCTCCTCCTCCTCAGCTTTTTTCTTTTTTTCTAGTCAGAGACTCGGAGACTCAGAGTTCGACAAATAGACATACGGATGGATAGACAGACAGACCGACAGCACCCAGAGGGCCAGACACTCAGACAGACAACCAAGCAGGCAGATGGATCCCCCCCCCCCCGCCCCACAAGCAACCCAGCCGCCCCCGACCAAAAGACACGAAAAAGATAAATAAATGTGGATTTAGAGAATTTTAGACACTACTCGCTGGACACAGAAATGCGCCACCAGTCTTCCGAATAAAAAGAAAAAATTGGGGCCTAACATCGCTTGCCCAGGGTACTCCGTGCAGGGGCTGTGGGCTGCCGGGACCCAGGTTGCCCAGCTGGGCGGGGTTTGTGGCTAGGTTAGACCATTAACCCATATTGCTGAGTTAATGGTCTAACCCCTTCTAAGTTTCTTAATCCGCCAGTACATGGCCCCAGGCAATTCAAGTTCCATAGCTCACTCTTAAAATTTCGGAGGCTTGGGGCTACTGGACCACGATGGCTGGTGGGATCAGCTAAAAAAGGAAAAGAGTGAGCTGTGTGCGGTTTGGCAAAGCTTGGCACACAGTGCGGTGTTGCCGTGCCTAGGTGCACGGGTGGTTTAAGCCGCTAGTACATGGCCCCAGCCTTGCTGAAAAGAAACTTGTCGCCTACGAGTTTCTTTCGGAAAAGACAGCACGCTTGCGCCGTCGATTAAAAAAAATAAGTGGCTTGCGTCGCCTACTGGAATCTGACGGGCGCCCGTGGCGGATAGATGGATGTACTTGTGCTTTCAAGGGGCAAAAAGAAGAATCATTTTTTTGGGATAAAGACTGGCACTTGTTAGCATCTGTCGGGCTCAAAACCTGGAGAGCTATACAGCCTATACTACATCCACAGTCTTTTGTTCAAACGGGAACATCAGGGTCACAATTGGAGGCAGTGGAGAATGTGACGAATACTGTCAAATATTGCTCATGTGAGATTTCATGGTCAAAAGGGACGGGTGAAAGGATGTCACGTGCATCAGCATCATGTT